GTGGCCAGCCAACTGCACAAGGAAGCCCATTAGTCTCTCAACAGATGGCCTTCAGACAGTCACCCTGCCATCAAGGCTATAGGCATTGATCCCCATGATTTCCATGTATTTGGCTAATCCCTTTTTTCTAGCCAGCAGAGCTGGTAGCCTGCACCACATCTTGTGATAGCAAATTCCAAAGATAAATTATGTATTGTATATTAAAAAAAAAATCCTTTTGTCTGCCTGATTCTTCCAGGATTCAATTTCATTACGTGACCTCTGATTCTAGTATTTTTGGGAAGGGGAAAATAATTTTTCCTTGTCCACTTTATCCATATCTGGTACAACATAATTTATTAAATCATAGTTTACAGAACCACAAGTGTCTGGATTTATACAGTACACTAAGCCATAAACCATGATTTACAAAGTATAGTGTCTAGGTTCACACATTGCACTAAACCATAACCAGATTTCCTTGGATTGGGCTTGGTAGGTAATATTAACCCAACCAGTATCTTTTCCTGAAAGATGAAACAAATGTGTTTGTGAGTAAAATATGAACATCTGTGAATATATATATATATATATATATATATATGATACATACATACATACAGTACATACATACACTACCACTTGCATGCATTGAATTAAGCTGAAGAAAAGGCAGTGTGCCATCTCTATTACATATGCATTGCTTTGGCCTCCTTTACAGCATGCCCTTCTTCTTTACAGCAAATTCTGATTTACATTCCCCTGGTTTTAATTCCCTCTGGATTGCATACTGTTTTTGTTGTTGTTGTTGTTGTTTACTTTCAAAATGTTTATTTTTTTCCCTTTAGCATCCTTTGAAAGCCTTCTCTATGCTTTTGTCGGGTACTTTCCTGTGTTCTTTTTGTGTGTTTGTTTACTTGTTTCCAAAATTAACCTGTTATAGTGATAGTTCAATTCATCCCTTAAATCATGGGTGTGCATTCCTACATATTAAGCAGCAGCAGTGTGCCCAATGGAAAGTTTATCTCCTATTATTGTGGCAAATAAAATAATTCAGCTAACATAGAAAAATGGTTCGCATAATGGGTTTGAAAACCATTTCATGTGGTCTAAGATCAAACCGGTTTTATGCATTCCAAAATCTGCAGTCTGGAAGGCTGTAAATGCAAAAGTTCTGGGAATGCAGGCCATATGGATGTAGATGTAGGTTTATGACTTGGAATAAAAGAAGAGTAAATAGTAAAGAGCCTGAATTAAGGAATGAGATGAATGAAATAAAAATAGGTACTGTATGCTGTACAACTATGAGAAAGGATATAATAAATCTGAATGAAAGGTGTCTGGTCTTGTGGAATGGAGTTGACAGATACATGCAGGGAAGTGAAGGTATAAGTTTAATTATGAATGAAAAGGCTAAAATGTATATCAGAAAGTATGAATTAGTGTCATCTCCCTTGTTGTGAGCATGTATGAAAGTAGGAATCCATTGTTTTGTGATAGCTGTCTGTAGTGCTCCAGGGAATTATGATAATGGAAGAAACAAGGAGGAGTTTTTAGGGGGGGAAAAACTGTATAACTTTCTCAATGAATGCAGTCTAGGGAAAAAAATATTAAGTGACAAGAATGGATAAGTAGGAATGCGATAATGGAATATATGAAAAGTGACTGGGCCATTTGGAGACTCAAGAACGAATGAGAATGATGACTGGTGAATAGCTGCTTATGAAAGAGTTCTGTTTTTTTAAATATGTGGGATAAGCATAAGTCTGTAATTGATATACTGTATATACATGGAAAAGAAATGACTTGAAAATCATGATTGCTTTTACGTATTGTTATATTTTGAAAATTTGAGAGAATTAGTGAAGGATGCAAAGGTGATGATTGGTTCCAAATGTGGTACAGACCATTATTTAGTAGTGCTAAGAGTAGCTGTTGAGTAAAAATAGATATGGAAGAAAAGGAGAGAAGTGAAAGTAACTAGACTGAAATAAATTAGAGTGAATATGCAACTGTAGGAGTCTTACTAGTCTTATATGAAAAATACTAGTCTTATATGAAAAATTTTTGAAGATTAGATTATTTTCCCAGCCTGAAAAAGAAGGGATGTGGAAGCAGCTTGGAATAGAAGGAAAAGGATTGTGTTACAGAGTGCATGGAGTTCTGCTAATGCTGAATGAGCAGTATATGGTAAAATACCACTATACATAAAGCATGTGTAAAAATAGATGGAATGCTTACTGTACGGTTGAACATTCGGCAGGGAATAATGCAAGGATGTGTGACGTCTCCTTGGTTATTTAATGTATTTATGGATAGACAAATAAATATATAAGGAACTCTTGAGGTGATGATAGAAGTATGATAACTGGGTACTCTTGTATGCAAATTTTGCTGTGTTCTTTCCTAAGAACTGAAGTGATTTACAGGAAATGTTAGGTAGCTTGTAATATGCAGTGAGAAATGTGCTTGACAAGGAAATGGAATGAACAACAGCGAGTTAGAAACAAATGGTGAAAAACTAGAGCAAGTAGTGATTGGCATGTTTGTATGTACACGCAGGTATGCACGCCCACCCATATACTCATACCCATACACCCATACATGCCCATACACTGATTTGTGAGTTAAACAGGGTTAGGCCTGGTTGGTGCTTCGATGGGGCATCACTAGGGAATACCAGGCCTGTGGGCTAGACTGTGAAATCAGAAAGGGCCAACTGCAAGCCTTTTTTATATTACTGGAAGGTAAACTGTTCCGTTGTGTCCATGTAGTCACCAACAATCAAGCTCAACTTCAGTGAATCTTTTTATTTTGGTGGATAATATATTACAATGAATGTTTGAAGTACAGTTAGGAATAATGTATGAATTCCAGCTAAAAACTGGGAATATCAGAAAATGTAGGGAACCTCCTCTCTCTGATCACATCTACCCGTCCTATCAGGTCCGGCAGGAAGCGCATGTTGCAGGTTCCATCCACAAAGGACTATCATCTGACAAGGCCCAGGAGGAGAGCCTTTTCTGCCACGGCACCCACTCTCTGGAACATTACTCTCCCTTGGCACCAACCTTGCTGGCCTCCCAGAAGGGCCTGAAGACATGGCTTTGCCATCTGGCCTGGGAATCCAGTAACATGGGTATGGAGCCTGTGAAGTAGATTAGGAGGTTTTTAAATAGTTTTGAAAGGTTTTTATTGCTTTTAATGATTTTTGTTGTTATGGTTTTGATTATTTTGTTGTATTGTTTTGTGTTTCTAACTTTGTAGGCCACTCAGAGTCATGTATGTGAGATGGGGGTCTATATAAATTTACCAAATAAAATAATAAAATAAAATAAACTTCTCCAGCATGAATCACAATAAAACATTCTTCTCTGACTAGTATTTGTATAATAGGTTGAATTTATAATTTCCAGAGTTCACAGCTATCATGAGTAGGAATTCTAAGAGATGCAGTCCTATTATTTCGGGAGATAGCCAAATTGGGAAGTTTTCAGTAAAACATAAAATGCAATGGCCAACTTCTTTAAACACACAAATGCTACGCAAGATCATTTTTGTTTATTAAAAACACTATGTTTGTTTAAGACAGTCATAAAAATCATTTGAGATTTTAAGCATTCATAAGTTATTCTCAAATATTATGTCAGATTTGAGACTTAGTTTCTAGTCCGATAAATCCAAACTTTTTGGTATTTCCATTCTCCTGACCACATCAGCAGACTTAGTGCTAGAGGTCCTGTCAGCCAGCTGAATTCAGCTTGCATCCAGGTGCTTTCTATTGAAAACTGTTGTAGCATATGGACAAATTATACGCATTTCTCAACCCAACACTATTTGCTGTTGATTGAAAGGTAAAATGCTTTTCATTCCATAAATTTCTTCACTTGCAGATGATAATATACCACATGGTTTGTGTAACAGCCAAACCTGCCCAGTACAAACCAAATACAGCAAAGAGAATCACTTTTAATTCATTTCATTAATTTTATTATGTATAACCACCAAAAGATGACTTATTCAAATCTATGATCTCACTTTCTTTCTAGCTTTTCAAATGAACTACACCAGCTGAATAATAAATGTTAAAGCAATAATTAATAACAGTGTACAATGACATGGTAAAGATATGAAGAAAGCATCTTGAAACATCAGTTGTCTTCTACCATAAGACAAGACAGTCTTTAAGTAGCTCTCTGCTGGATGGAAATCCTGGCTTATTGTGAACAAGCTGTCTGCTCATACTTGGCTTGTAGACTGTGGGCCATGTGTAGCCATCCTCTAAAGTACCTGCCACCTAATTTTGGTGGTGGTGCCAAATGGCTGCTCAGTGGCCACTTTCATTAGTCAAATGGACAGCAGAACACAGCAGCATTGGGACTGTATGTATGTCTATATATACATGTACAGTGTCTTCCTTTATACATACATGCATACAACTTCTAAAGATTTGCACCAACCCTCAGTGAAGCCATTAGGGCAAAACAGTAAATGATTTACTTAGCACTTTGTCCATACTTAGGCTCGAGGTTTTTTTTTTTTTCTTCCCAAGTAACCTAGGATTCATAAACTAAATATTGAGATATCTTAAAAGCAGTGACATGCCAGCTCTGGTTTGAACAAATGATTCCTAGATTATTTATTTTGTTAGTGGGAGCAATTTCTAAACCATAATATGACAGAATGAATCAGTACTAAATGATGACTTGGAAAATGAAGAAGATAAGGGAAGGAGTAAGGACAGCTACAGACAGAGAGGACGAGGAGTTGGAACAGTGGAAGGCTGGAGGAAAAAAGAGCACAAAAAAGAAAAAGAAAAAACAGGGATTATGTAAAGGAAATTGGCTGCAATATACTTGCTAAGTCTACTAAAGTCAATCTTTAATGGCCACGTTTCTGTGTTTATTTCAATAATTATATGGCATGATATCTTTGTAGAGCAACGAATCTGGGCAAATGTCCATAGTCTTTAATCTTGTCAAGCAGATTGTAATATGATTTCCTCCCTTTCCTTTTTTTAGGACATTTCACAGTTTTATATAATCAAAGCTAATTTCAGTATGCTGAAAAGGAAACAGAGTTCTAGGGTAGAAGCCCAGCCTGTAACAGATTTTGGTCCTGATGAATCCTTATCAGACAACGCGGATATCCTGTGGATTAACAAACCAGTAAGTTTGATATACCACATTAACTATCATACCTTTGGAATATGATTAAGCCATAGTTAAGCATTGTTAAGTTCTGTTGATGTTACTGCAATAAATAGAAAATACGTGCTTAAATTTCTGTTATTGAATTCAGTGGAGTTTTAAACGATAATTAAAGTTGCATGAATACATATATATTTTATCTTCAGAATCTTACAATATCAGTTTCTTCTCCCCAAACTGCTGCATATGAAGGGAAATGAATATATAAAGATTTGGAGAGGAAGAAGAGAGATTGAGAGTGCCCACGTTAGTCTTGTCTCTGCACAGCTCTAAACAAGGCATCCATGAATTGCTTTCTGAATTTTCCTTCATTTCTGGAATGAATGAGCTGTTCTATCCATACCCCTTCAAAGGCCTACTAGAAGATTTTACTATTTTCTGTTTACTATTTACTATTTTCTTTTTTCTGTTCCTTTCCTTTTTTTGTATAATTTGCACCAATCCAATCTAACAGGACAAAAGCATTCTGTTAAATTTAAAAATTAATCTGAAAAAATTAAAATGAGTCTGAGTCGTGAGGAATACTGAAGCTTTCTGTTAAAACAGAAATTTCATATTCTGTTAACAAGAGAGAAAATCAAGTATGTGAGTTTACTCTCAGCATTGTGAAATTCACTAGTGAGAATAAGGAAGCCAGCAAGTCTAATTTTTCTGGTAAGACATAATAATGAAACTGTCTTGCCTTAAGATTAATCATTCTCAGAGGAAATAAGAAACATGGAAATAGTCTAGCCCCATGCTACAGACACCATATTTAAAATAGTTGTTTGAAAAGAAAATCAAATAACACAACTGTTCTAAATATGGCAAACACAATTAAACCATTTTTTAAAAAATGAACTTTTGGATTTTTACTGGAGGACCCAAAATTTCCTGCCTGGGCTGAGAGCCAGGATGCTGGGCAACCAGGCAGCAATTTCAAGGCTAAACAAATGAAAAATGGACTGAAATGCTGATTGTCCTAAATCACTGCAGTGCAAAATGTTCTAAAGTTTGTGTGGACAGGGAAAGGGGAAACCAGCTCATTTTCACCTTACCCCTTGTGTAAATGGAACACAGCAAGATGCACAACCCCCCCAAAATGCTAGAGCCCCAAAGTGTTAATGGGCAACTGCAGCTGCATAATTCCCCTTACAGCTTATGTTATAATAGTAATGGTTTTTAGCAGTAGAAGACTTCAGTGCTCAAGCATCTTTTGCATTCAGTATATTATTTGAAACTGTTAGATCATGAAAGGACATTGAAAAGGATAGTTGTACAAGTTGATGAAACCTTTGTTGATGTTTTGTATTTCTCAGTGGGTGCACTCTTTACTGCGCATCTGTGCCATTATCAGTGTCATTTCCGTGTGCATGAATACCCCAAAGACCTTTGAGCATTATCCTCCTCTTCAGTATGTGACATTTGCTCTTGATACGTTACTGATGTTTCTCTACACGGCAGAGATGATAGCAAAAATGCACATCCGTGGCATAGTCAAGGTGAGTTTTCTCATTTTTTTACCAACACAAACCAAAAACACATTAGTACCTTTTACATCCAGATCCTAGATACATTAGCTGGAGTAAACTTTGCTGTGCTCTAAATGAAATCTCCAGATCATGTTATGCTCCTCTTCTGAACATATCTATTACACATAATACTCATTGTTTGTAAAATTAGCCTTCAGGACCATCTGAATGATTACATTTACTTTTTTTTCCTCAAAAAACATTTCTTCCATTGCATTGTTTAGACTTTTGTTTGACATGAAAGAGCCCGTATGTGTGTGGATGGGTCTATGTGCATCCCCGTGGTCTTGTAAGTTGCCAGGCTTTTGATCTCCCAATCCTTCCTAACCCAATCCAAAACTCAAATTTAGCTTGATCTGGGCTGATGTAACTATTTGCAGATCTACTGGAATATCAAGATACCGTGAGCATGCTGTTTTTATGCTTTTGCTACCGTGTAGCCAGTAGCTGAGCATAATGGTCAGACAATCCATGCTTTCTTCCTATAATTTCAGATTGGCCCCGAATTGGGTGCCTTGCTTCTCTACCTCAAGTTCTGCTGAGTCTATGCCTGAACAAGCATCCTTCCATGCTTTTCCTACAATGAAGAGAAATTGCTGGTGTTCCCTCTCTACTCTGTTCCATTCATATTTTTGTGAATGAATGTCCATATTCTGTAAAAAAAAAAATCACCAGCAGCTTGAAAGGAAGCTAAGCAATGGGGAAGTCAGTTGTTAAAAAAAGAAACAAATAAATGCACTGAAATGTCTGAAAATTTGCCAGTCAGTATGGCAGCAGACCTCCATTTCTTTGAAACTCTTATGATTTGTAATGCTGACAAACTAGCAATTCTGCGTTCAAACCCCTTTTCCTAACCATGCTAGCATGTAGCTACAGTGGCAGCCCTGGGCTAGGGGCAAGTCAAGAAGCTCCACGAGTGACAGCAAAGATCATCTCTTGAAGCACAAAGTGATGATACGTTACAATTTCTGAGGTGGCATTTGCTGAGCTGAAATGGCATTTCCCTGTTAAAGATAAAACGGCAGTGGTACAAATATAGATTGTGATCACCCTGCAGTGGCAACATCATTTGATTAGGCAGGTGGGGTGTTCATGTTGTGCCAGAGCTGGGGCTGCACCAGAATCTGGAAGATCTCCATAATAGATACCACCAGGTGCTATTTTGCAATATCTGTAATTATTAAGATACAGCTGCAAAGTTGATATCATTGATGACATTATAATCAATATAAGCCTTGTAAAGTCTTAGATACTACCATTAAAGTTAGATATGCCTTGTTATGCTTTAAAATGGATAAATACTATTTTTCCCTTATCAAAGGTCTGTGTGCCTCAGATAAAGAAAATCTGTAAGATATCCCAAACTTTGCTTCAATAAAAGATTGATATTCTAGCCTGTGTAAATCATGTAGATTTCAGCCGTATTTTTCTCCCCAATGAGATGACACTTCCAGTCCTCTTGTGGTGGTCTTCCATAAGTTGCAAGTGTTAGAGCACATTGCGATTGTGATTATCCTGTTTAATGAATTCATTGCAACTCTGTCTAATGAATTCATTGCTTAGTATTTGGATCATCTTCTGAACCAGTCATAAGAAGGTTTGTGTAAATCTCCATTTTAACATGACTTGATTTTTTTTTCTTTCTTCTTTTGCTGTTCCTGCTATCACAAAATTTTATTAATTTATATATTCATGCATTAGATTTTTTACACCACTGCTGTCATAGGACTCTCAGCTCTACCAAAAAGTATAACATGACTGTGTCAATGGTGTTAACCAAGATTACATAGCTATGCAATAGGCATACCCTATTCTTATTCCATCACAGTAGATCTGAATGCAGAAGTAGGTTTCTAGGTATACAACTGATACAGATGTTAATGCTCATCCAACTCTAGGGCTCCATTGTGGTCTTCCAGTAAAGTAGGATGCACATTGAAGCCTTTAGTTATGTACCACTTGGGGTTGCACGTAATAATTCAGATTTCAACTAAAACAGGACAGTGACCATAGATTCATTGTTCAGTACAAAAGGGAGATGGGATAAAAATCTCAAGTATCTGGATATGGCTTTTTGTTGTAAATATCAACATGCTTTTGTGAATCTCAAAGCAGATGACTTTACAACAGTGACTTTCAACAATCAAAGGTGGGTTTTTTTGGCTTCCTGAAGAAGTTTCCCATCAGTTACAGATTAAAGAAAAATACAGAATTAGGACTTTATCTAAGTTTCCTGGTATTTTCATTATGAATACTAGTACCATTGTACAAAAGAACTATTTTGTAATTAAAAATTATTCAAATCAAATCAAAGTTTATTAGCCCTAAGGCCTTATCAAAATAACAATTAGACAGTAAATAATTAATAAAACTCTTTACAAAAGTAATATAGCAAACAGATTAAATAAAACATGAATAAAAATAGAGTAATATTTTTGATATTTTAATATTTTGATTTGAATTAAAAATTATTCATTCAGTGGATAGTGTGCCTGTGTTTGTTTTTTATTCCATTATTTGCTATCTTTCTTATCATATTTTTCTTATAAAGACTTACATGGGAGAAGAGAATGTATATGTATAACTAATTTACTGAAATAGGTATGAGTCAGTATTAAACCTTTTTAAAGTAAACTGAGGATAGGTAGGAGCTTTTACAGGCAGCAGTTTAATCTCTAAGATTAAACAACCCATTTTAACCCTTAACACACTGAGACCACAGAAAAAGACTTTCTATTTTGGCCCCATCCACTCTAAGAACACTCCAAGGGTGCTAGAGGCTGTATGAGGCCTCTGCACTGTCAACTTCTCCCCTGCAATATAAAAGAAATGAAGAGGCCCACTTAACTCATTGATAGACATTTAACAATTATAATAAAAATAAATCAAACTCTCAGAAAGTTTATTGTGGAACTAAAATGGGTAAAACCTTATATATTTTACTTCTCCATTGGGGGAGATGGGCGGCGTACAAATTTGAAAAATAAATAAATAAATGTAAACTCTACAATTTTATTGTTAAGGAGCTCCATTTGAGTTTGTACTTGGACTACCATTGAAAACAGCTCAGAAACTTCTGTACATTCCAAACAGAGCTGCAAGGTTTTATATATATAAATAAGTGGGTTTCTTCTTTTTTATATTGTACCTCCAGAGCAGTCTTAGAGTAGGTGGGACCAAAGTATAGAGTTTTTCTGGGGTTTCAGGGTGTTAAGGGTTATAATGGGTAGCTTCTTTTCTCCTGTGTACAAAATGAATTTCTTATTTTCCTCTCACTTGAAAATGCTTCTTGTTTTTACTCACAGCTCTTCCTCCCACTTGTTATATATGTAAGATTTTTCAGTCCTGGTCTTTTCCTTCCCATCCTGAATAAATTGGCTAAAATGTAGCCAGAATTCAGCTAAGAAATTTGTTTCCAAAGAAAAAGGATCCAGCACCATCATAGCTGCCCCCACCAGGATGGCTCATGATTGGAATTGCAGCCCAACACCTCCAGAAGGTGCTGTGGGGGGAGGATTGCAATTTGGTATATGGGATGAATGCATAAAATGAACTGAAAGAGAAGTCAGAGAAAAAAAGATTGCAGGTTATTTCCAAAGGAGATCAAGGAGTATTTGCAGAGACTGATGCCTCTGTATTATGGCTCACATAAATATTTTGAATTTCAGGACATAAGAGCCTGGACCTAATAAATCAGAGATTAGCAGCTTCTGGGGCCGAGCTGGACCTCTCACTCCTGGACTAGCTGAAGAGGCCAATCATGAGAAGACAGTGAGATGATTGGGGTGGGGCTGTTTATTGGAGGGGAGTGGACTTTTATCTATTCATATGGGAGCAGGAAACCTCTGGGCAACAAAGCATTGCCATTTCTACTGTTAAAAGTTCCCTACTCCTACCCTCACCTCCAAACATAGAATCATCCCATTGAAATTTGATAGCAAAATGCCAAAATGTCAGCAGGCAATTTTCAGGTCATTTGGAGAGTCTTGGGGATGGGGCTTATAGCTGAGAATTGGAACAGTTTGCCTCCTAGAGATCTGTTCCCATTTCCACCCTTATTTTTGAGGGAGGAGCAGCCACACCAATTGTGCCACCAAAAACCATCTATTCTGTAGCCAGATTGCAGTTTCATAACCTTGGGGTGCTGGAGCGAGCTATAGGATGGCCTGCTATAGAACCCTGTGGTTGGTATTTAGTCCTTCATCAATCAAGCCTTTAATCGCTACATTACCAATAGGACTTAATGATTCCTGGACTAGCCTGCAATCTCCACACAGAACAATAAGAATTCAGAGCTTATTTGTAAGCTGGCCTGATTGGGTAGGAGAACTTCATTTGGCTATAGAAGAACATACAACCTGGTCTGGTACGCCCATACAGCGAGGAGAGGGTAGAGGAATAGGATTCTGTTTTGCTCTATAAGAAACCCTCGGCAAACATACAAGCCTTTATGTTTTCAACATCTGTATCTCATTTTCAGATTTAGGCAAGCTGCCTGAGGTTGACTGACGACAAAAATCAGAAAGTCTGGGCAGGCAAGAGGGGCAATCCCATCGATACCCTTTCTTTGCAGAAAAAAATGCATCCGTTTTTACAGGGGTCCATGAACACATTTGTTGCATGTCCTCCGTGGATTCCAGGAATCATGTCGCAAGGACTGACTGGTGGGAGGATTAATAAGCTTGGCCAACTTCTCTTCCTGCAGCTTGTGTTGGCAATTCTGTTCTGGCTCAGAGGCCTGACAACTCTTCCAGTTGAGTCTATTTCTAAATGCATTTTTCCCCTCCCCTTTCTTCACTTCCTTGTTCCAATTCCAGTTGCAAATGCGGCCTCTTCAGCGATCCCATTTCCAAAGCTGCTGTGTCCTCAGTGCTCCTTTTCCCCAGCTATATTGGTAATAAGGAGGGCCAGGTCACATGCTCTGGAGGCCAAAATAGTCCTGGAAAGTCACTGAATCTTGTATCAGTACT